GTGTGATCCGCTCGTGTTTCTGGCTCTTGTTGGCCCTCGTCCTGCAGATGTTTGCAACGTTTCGTTGCCGTTATTGCTGCTGCAGCGTTTGTGCAGAGTGAAACTTCCACACTGTCTTTGCTGTAAAACGATGAACGTAACCGCTTCGCTGTTGGAAAACTGAGATTAGAATTTGGTCTGGATTCCAGCAGCTCTACAGGCTGAGCAGGAGGCTGCTGAGCATGCTTTGTGGTCCCAAAATTGTGAAAGTGCTTGAATTCGTGGAGGAAAATGTTTTTGTGCATCACCAAGGATTTCTCCAGTGAATTTGTTCTAGAGCACAAACTGTAATGACGTGCCTGTAAAACAGTCTGATGGTTTAAAAGCAAAATGATGGCCTAAGAGGTCCTTTTGTTCATGCCTGATCACATCTCTGTTACGTGTCCTCGTTGTGCTCTGGGCTGCCTCTGGTTCTCCTCAGGGTCACAAAGCTTGTAGGTCCATAGGACGGAGTCCAGGCAGGGCTTTCAGGACCTGATGACGAAGTCTCAGACTCATCGTGTTACTTCGGTTTCTCTCCTGTTTGACTTTAATATGATTTAAAATCATCGGCAGTAAGAGCGAAGCTTCTGCCTTAGAGTCAATCTGACCTGCATCATATTTAACAAAATAAAACAAATCAACTTCCTCACAAACCTTCACCCTCTCTATCCTCTCCGCTCTCTGTATCTCTCGCCCAAGGGCACGTCGGCCCAGTGTTCCTGCCAAACTGTTTCCTGTTACCGACTCTCGCCTGTCAGAGCTGAGTGAAAGATGGCTGCAGGCAATAAGAGGAGAGCTGCTGTCTGTCTGGATTCTGGCTCATAGTTTCCTCTGAAACAGAGCGAGCAGCTTCGTGGCACAAATACGAACGTGTTCTCCAAAGACTGAAGGAGCTCAGTTCGGGTCCGAAACCATCGGCGTGAGGGTGGTACGATTCTTTATCCTTGCGCCACGGCCGGATCGCGGATGCACTGGTGGTCACAGGATACGAGAAGAATCAAAGCTGCCACAGTGTTCATCACACGAAGACAAACTCTGCCTTTGCTCTATTGTCAGCTTTTAGAAAAACAACTCATCTCATCATCTCAAAGCGAGTCTCACCTGTTTGCAGCCAGACACGTATGGAAGCACTTGGCACGCCCGGGCTTTAAAACAAGCTGACAGAGTTCGAATTTCCTCTAATAACAGGTTTTAAAATCACCCTTCCTGCTGTCATTAAGTCCTCAGGCTCCTCCCACCAGAGCACAGCACAAGCGCTGTGACTGCTCGCGCCAGTCCCACTTCACGTCTAGCCTTCACACACAAACCGCTGCAGCGCGAGCTGGAGGGCAGTGAAGTGCTGAGACCCGGTGTTTTCGCCCGGTGAACAGAAACACTTTCACAGCTGCAGTGCTCACACAGCTTTCTAATGTCATTATTCTTAACATGTAAGACAGAACATGGGTCTCATCATGTTCTCTTAAACATGACAAGACCCATTTTTGTTTGGGTAATAACCTCATATAGTCTGTGCAGGACGTGGTTCTTCTGATTTGTGAGATGACTCCACGTCTGTGTTCTCTTTTATTTCTGAGGTTGCCACACTCAAGTTTCCAAAAGGGCGTTTTGTTTTGAAGAATCCAAAGATGAATCTTTTCTAATTAAAATGAATTTTTCTGCCTGATAGAAGATGAGTCTGTACATGCCCGTGAAGCGCTGATGGGCGAGTGGCCGAAAGCTGCGTTCAGGTTTCTGCCAGTTTTCCAACGAAGCCCACGTTAAAGTAAGAGAACGTGGAGCGTCCAAATGTTTCGGGCAAGTATCGATTAAGTTCTTAAAAGTCAGAAATATGATAAAACATGAGAGGCGCTGAAAGGTCCTGAAATATGTTCTTTAAATCAACAAATGTAAAGTTGAGTGAGAGCTCCTAAAATATTTGGGCTCGTGTTTATTTCGGTGAATAAACCTCCCGAGTTTGATTCTCTGTGGCATCGCGAAGGTCTTCAAAAGTCTAACTTTGTGCAGACGCCCTGCAACCTACATATCCAAAAACACCCAAACCCTGCTCGTTGTTCTGTGTGTGAAACATTTCACTACTCCTGGCAGAAACGCTTCTAATTTCTTTTTTCCAGCCCCTCCTACGTTTTTCTGATTCCTCCACTTCTTGACTGCGGCGGCCTTTCTTTTTCCGGAGGATCTTGTAGGAGTGGAGGACGTGAGTTCTGACTCCTCACCACCTGTAGCCATGTTGTTCAGTCTAAAAATATAGCTGGCTTTGTTCTGGCAGCCTCAAACTTGGCACGGCAGCTCGTACTGCAGCGCGGGCGATGCCCGGGGTTCGACGCCGGGGAATTCACGCCGCGCACATCCGCTCGCACCAGGAGAGGGTTTGAGAGTGGCGCGGGAGGCTCTGGGGGGAGCGTGGGTTTGGCCGGCCTCATAGTCACTCTGGTTAAAACTCTGAGCAGAGAGCAGCGCCGGCGGAGGAGGAGGTAATCGCCTGCAGACCACATGTTCTGTCACACTTCAGATGGGCAACGGTGGTATTAATTAGTCGCGTCACTCGCTGTGGGTGAAGTGTTTACGAGGCTGAGGAGAAAATGAGTGTCCTGAGACAAATTACAGGTCAAATAAAGAAAATGTATAACGTGCTTCTTATTTCTTCCTGGCTGACCTGTGGAGATGTACAGCACACTGTGCACCAGAAGTTTTTATCTGATTATAAGATGAAAGAATTTAAAGACAACAATAACCTCAG